GAGAAGTGGTGCCTCGATGCGCACCCGGGATCCGAACCCGGGCCACCAGCATCGCAGCGCGCGCACTTAACCACCAAGCCACAGGGCAGGCCCAAAAAATTTTTTTTTAAATATCACAGCTGCTCAGATAGCTTCTAACCCTTTGCAGGCCAAACACCACCAGAGGTAGAGAAAGAGAAGAGGAGGAGGTAAAGGGCCTCCTTGCCTCTTTTGGGCGCCCAAAGCGACCACTATTTCCTCAACTCCAGCAGCGGCTATACTCGTCTTGCATTAGATTGTGGTCCTACATCGGCTGGGACCTTCTGCTTTTACCTTTGTCTCCCCGAGCCAAAGAGACAGCACAGAGAACTATTTCTCTCTCTTGTATAAGTAAAGCCACAGCATCAGCCTGGAACATGGTGAATGCCGTTGAGTGAGCAAATGGGTTCAACACTCCAGTCTGGCTTCCAGAGTGGCCCCCAGTCCCTATTTAGGGACAGGGAATTGTCAGGCAAAGTGCAAGACAGAGTCAGCCTGCCCTCACAGGCCTGAGTCCCTGCCCACAGCCTGGCCTGGCTGACACACTCCTCTGCCCAGTGGGACGAGGCGGGCAGCCAGGGACATGCATTTGTCTGTTCTTTTGTCTGGTGTCTGTCTCCCCACTAGAATGAATGCTCCTTGAAACATGCTATGCCTTGGTCACTGTGATACCTCCAGTGCCTCAAATGATGCCTAGCAGAGAACAGCTGCTCAATAAATATTTGGAGGATGAAATTTAAAAAGAGAGAGACAGACAGAAATAAACCAAAAAGAGGCTGAAACAGACTGAGACAGAGGCTGGGAGAAGAGCATGCTGTCACCAGCCAGGAAGGGACAGAGCAGAAGATGGAAACAGTGAAACAGTCTCCCCAAGATACCCAAAGATGGGTTACAGGTGTGGCTGTGGCTGAGGCAGTGACAAGGGCCAGCCAGCCAGGATTAACCGTGCAGGGGCCAGAACTGTAAGATGCACAGACACGAAGACAAAGGTGAGAGACAGACCAAAACAGAACAGAGAGAGCAGACAGGGGAAAGGGAGAGAGCTGTCAAGAGAAGACGAAAGAAACAGGCTGAAGGGGCATTACAAGAGTAGGTGACAAAGGGCTGGGGAGAGGAGAGAGAGGCCCAAAGAGGAGAGAAAGGAAGAGAGGTAAAGAGAGATAGGGAAATGCAGAGAGACAGAGAGATAATGAGAGATATTGAAGAGAGACAGAGGGAGGAGAGACAGAGATACAGAGAAGCAGAAAGAGAGACAGAGAACAAAAAGAGAGGGCCAGCCTGGTGGTGTAGCAGTTAAGTGCGCACGCTCTGCTGCGGCAGCCCAGGGTTCGGATCCCGGTCACGCACCGACACACTGACGCACCGCTTGTCAAGCCATGCTGTGGCGGCATCCCATACAAAGTAGAGGAAGATGGGCACAGATGTTAGCCCAGGGCCAGTCTTCCTCAGCAAAAAGAGGAGGATTGGCGACAGATGTTAACTCAGGGCTAATCTTCCTCACACAAAAAAAGAACAAAAAGAGAGAGAGAGATGAGAGGTACAGAGGAGGAGACACAGAAAGAGAGACAGAGAGGCGAGATAAAGAGAGATAGACAGAGATATAAAGAGACATAGAGGAGAGACAGAAAGAGAGAGCCAGAGAGATGGAGATAAGATAGAGAGGTATAGATCGAGAGGGAGAGAGACAAGGAAAGAGAGATGTGAGAGACAGAAAGATCACTGTACCACTGGAGATTCCCTTCTTTCTCTCCTTTTAAGCCTGGACCATGTAGAAGTAGCTTCGAGGGGCAGTAGTGTCCCTCCTCCCTTTCTCATAACACCCCAGTAATAACACCATGGAAATGTGCCATGCATGGCACATAACTGCTTTACGCACACTGCTCCCCCTACTGATTCCCAGCAATCCCACGAGGCAGGCGCTGTCATCATCCCTATTTTACAAATGAAGAAGCTGAGGCACAGAGAGGTTAAGTAACTTGCACACGGTCACACAGGGGGAAGTAGTAGGGCTGGGACTCCAAGGTATTAGGCACCAGAGGGTCTGTTCCACAGTGGGGCTGTTGGCTCACAGTGGGGCACAGGTGGAGAGAGCTGTGGCCCCTGCATGTCTGGGCTAACTCTTATACACACCTGAAGCAAAGAAGCAAAGCTAAAGTAAAAGAGACGTGAAAAAACAGAACAACTAAAAATAAAATGTGGAAAAACAAAATATACAGGCTTTGTTCAGATGCCAAACTTACCTAAAAGAAACTACAAAATAATATTTTTTAGATAATTAGGGAAATCTGAATATGAACTGGAGATGAGATGATATCAAGAAATTATTAACTTTGTTAAGTATAATGGCATTGTGGGTTTGTAAGAAAATATTCGGGCTGGCCCCGTGGCTTAGCGGTTAAATGCGCAGGCTCCACTGCCGGCGGCCCGGGCTCGGATCCCTGGCATGCACCGACGCACTGCTTTTCCGGCCATGCTGAGGCCGTGTCCCACATACAGCAAGTAGAAGGATGTGCAGCTATGACATACAACTATCTACTGGGGCTTTAGGGGGAAAATAAATAAATTAAATAAAATCTTTAAAAAAAAAAAAAAGAATGTTTCAGAAAAGAGATGAAGCAAGAATGGAAAAATGCCACCAACAGCTGAATCTGGGCGATGAGGACTGGGAGTTCCTTAAGGCCCTCAAATGGCTGCCCCTGCCCATGGAACAGGGCACAGTTCTCTGGCGTGGCTCTCAAGGCCCCATGCTCAGTCTCACCTGTGTGCCCACCACATGGACCACTCAGGCTCTAACCACAGGCTTTACTCTGGCCTCCCCACCCCTTAAATTCCACTCACCTAGAATCCTGCCTCTGTACCTTTGCAAATGGTAGTTTCCCCGTGGAGATGCCTTCCCCTCTTCCTAGCCCCTAGTCCCTTGTCCCGGGACTCTTCCTACCCCGCTCCAGCCCAGCAGGCCGCTCCTCAGACCTTCCCCAGCATTGTTCCTTGTGTCATACACGTTCACCTTTAACACAAGCTACCTCCAATCACTACGTACAGTTTCCTGCAAGTTTGAGGCCCCGTCTCCATTTGCATTTTATTTCCCCTGGTGCCCAGCACAGCCCTCCAAGCTCCCTTATCTCAACTCATGACTAAGAGCCAGCTTAGCAACCACGCCTCTTGTCATTCAGGTCTCAGTCCAAGCATTGCCTCCTCTAAGAGCCTGACCACCCAACTAATGCGGCCCGCCACCGCCCACAGTCACCCGTCCAGCCTCTTCATAACATTTACCGCTACCTGTGGTCATTTCTTTCTTTGTCTATATTCCAGTTCCTCCCACTAAACAAGGGAAGGACCTCATTCTTCTTGGTCACCCCTGTATCCTGAGTGCCTAGAAAAATACCAAGGACAGGGCCAGGAGCTCAATCAATATTTATCGAGTAAATGAGCAATTGTAGTTTTCCCAACTAAATTGCAAGCTCCCAGAGGGCAGGAGAGAGCCAGCACACAGCAACTGTTAAATAACTATTCACTGATATTATGTAGGAGAAAAATCCCTATGTTGGGGGGTCAGGGGACCAGGGTCCAGGCCACTCAATCTTGGACTTTGGGTCATATGTCTTCTCTCGGCCTTCCTTCGAGGGGCTTGGGATTGGATTTCTGGGGCAATCCATACTCCCACTCTAGGATCTGATGAATGAGTGGCCAACACATGCAATACTCAGGGCTGCCCTGGGGCACCAGTCACAGCTTGACAGCAAAATGGCCACCTGCTCCACCCTCCCTTCCCAAGTCCTTATCTTGGGCAGTCCACTCACCATCACCCGGGTGCCCCTCAAGTCCAACACTGGAATCATTCATTATCTACCCCTGTGCAAATCTGCCATACCTGTGTTCTCCTGAAGGCAGTACTGTCCACCCAGCCTCCCAGGCCGGAAACCTGGGTAGTTTTCTCCCCTCCTTCTTCACTCTCACTCTCTCAGTCAGTCAACAAGTCTTGATGATTTTAGCTCCTGAATCCATCCCTTCTTTTTTTTTTCACCCCTTCCCACCACTGCCCTAGTCCATCTTTGCCTGGACTTCTGCAGCGGCCTCCTAAGGGTCTCCCTGCCTCTGCTCTGGTCCCCTCTATCCCCTCTCCACCCAGCCATCAGAGGGAGCCTTCAAACACCAAACCTGCTTAAGACCCTTAAACGCCGGCCCGCGCCCTGAGGATGGACTCCAAATACCTTATTATCACCCACCAGGAACTGCCTTATCTGGCCCCAAGCCTCTCCCCACCTAGATCTCCTACAGCTCCTCAGCCCCCAAACTTTATGTCCCAGTCACTTCTTTCAGTTCCCCAAATGCACACGCTCTCCCTCTTGCCTTCATATTCACTCTGCCTGGGACGCTCTTCCTCTCCCAGCCCCTTGCAGATCTCAGTTGAAAACCTCTTCCTCCAGGATGCCTTTGCTAACTACACCTCCTGAGTGTACTCCCACCAAACCTATGTTTCACCTCTCACTGCCCTTTTCATTCTAACTGCCTGGCTCTATCTCCTCCACCCACCCACCCACCATCCCAACTAGACCCTGAGTTCCCTAAGGGCTGGACGGTATCTGCCTTGTTCACGCTCTCAACAAAAGCACAGCAGGCACTTAGCAAATACTTACCAGATGAATGTCAAGCACTTAGAGCACGTGCAAGTAAATTTGGCTATTATCAACATTTTTTTGACACAACCTTTTCCTAGATCTCAACCCACCCCACCAGAGAGGTCCAAGCATACAAGAGCATCTGTTCTGGCTGCAGAAGAACAGGCACACTTGGGATTCTATCGGACACCTCGGCGTCTGCTCCGCCTACCGCCCGGGAGTTGCGCACGCCGGGGATCCACCTGGGACGCCGACGCCGCGGGCCATTTAAGGATGGAAGGGGGCGGGCCCGAGAAGGCTCCGCCTCCGCGCTGAGGTCAGCGCGCACGGCTACGTGTGACGCTCTGGTTGCCGCAGAGACGCCCCGCCCCCGCGCGGCGCTGCGGAACCGGAGCTCCGGGCGGCGTCGGCAGCGGCGCGGGAGGAGGCAAGGCCGGGACGCCAGGAGCCGGCGCGGCGACCGCAGCGCGAGCGGCGGAGACAGAGCAGACCACGACGAAGGCGCACAGGCAGCCGGGCCGGGCCGGGCCACGGGGAGAGCGGCCGCCGGGAAGCGGGCGGGAGGCCGGGCGGGCAGCGGGCAGCCGCCGAGCCGCGAAGCGACATGGTGCTGCTCAAGGAGTAGTGAGTGTCCGGCCGGCCGTGCGGAAGCGAGGAGGAAGGGAGAGTCGGGCATGACGACCAGGGAGGCTGATGGCCCGGCGGAGGGGATGCAGCGGCCGGACGGGGCCCGAGGGGATGGAGGGCGCTGGATGGGCTGTAGGGCGGCCCAGCAGGGGCGGAGGGGACAGTGAGGGCCGGACGGGGCCTGAGATGGGGCCAACGGGGATAGAGAGTGACGGACAGCACCTGAGGTGGGGACCAAGGGGCAGTGAGGGCAGAATAGGCCTGAGGAGAGGACGAGGGGACAATGAGAGCCGGACAGGGCCTGAGATGGAGTCAAGGGGACAGTGAGAGCTGGACAGGGTATGAAGAGGGGCTGCGGGGATCGAGAGTACTGGATGAGATGTGGGGTGGTCCTACTGTGGGTGCGCGCTGAGGGCCGAAGGGACCAGAACTGCAGGAGTGGCTGAGAGGACCGGTGGGAGAGGGAGGAGTTGTCAGAGGGGCTGATTGAACAGTTAGGCAAGGGCAGGCAGGGCTTGAGAACTGGCCCGCGCTGGGGAGGGTTTTGGGGACTGAGCAGTACTCAGAGACCCTGGAATATCAGATAAGAGAGCTTCAGGAATGGAGTTGAGATGATGGGGAGGAGTGCTGAAGGGAACCTAGAGTATGAGGAGTGGCTGCCTCAGGTATCAGAGAAAGGGCTGTAGTAAGCGGACACAGGAAAAGGACTAGGGGGTCAGGGCCAGCCTTGGGTGACAGGGGAAGGGTCTAAGGAGATAGCAGAGGGGACTGATGGTGTGACGTGCTCAAGTGGTAGTTGCAGAGGAGAAGGTATTTAGAGAAAAGCTTAGGATGATTGCTTGGGACTTGGGGACACTTGGGCGAGGAGTCCAGAAAATATTGGGCAGGGGCTGAAGTGATGTGAGGGAGTTATGGTGATGGAGAGGGATAGGATGTTACCAAGGTAGAGAACAGTTTGGAAAGAGAGTAGGTCTGTGAATAAATATATGTATTATTGGAGTGCAGGTGGGGGCAGGGGCAGCCTATCTCTAGGAGATTCTCAGTCTTGGTGCAAAGAGATGAGGAAATTGCTTTGAGGAGTTGAGGAGGTTCCCGTAAAGCCATTAGTTAAGGAAAGACAGTGAAGAGTGAGGGAGTTCTTCAATAGTGACTGGGGGGTGGGAAACTGGTGACTTCTGGAAGGAGTTGCAGAGAGATGGGCTTACTCCTGAAATCCAGGGGATTGGATGACAGGTGGGGATGTTTGGATTGCTAAATCTTTCAAATACGAGATGATCCATCCCTGAAGCTCATGGTTCCAAGTAAACCTCTCAGGACTTTTTTTCTTTTTCCAAAGAGGAGAGATTGAGTGTGTGACTGCAGAATTTACAGTGAAACTGTGCTTTCCTGGAGGGGAGGGAAAGTGGGCAGCATTGGGCCAAAAGCCCAGGGAGTCCGGAAGCGGGAGATATCCAAGTAGAGAGCAATTGTAGGAACTCAGTTGGTGGCCAGGCAGGGGTGCAGAGAGCTGGTTCCATTTTGTCAGTGAGGGCGCTTTGCCCCATCCCATCCAGCTTACTCCTTGGAGGGATTTAGGACATTTAGGACATAGTGTGGAGCTTTGGATAACAAAGGGAGTGGTGACCCAGGTGTCCTCCCAGCTTGACACCTCATCTGAAGAGCATTATTTTGAAGCCCCTCCACCTCTATTTCTTGACATCCAGTCCGATGTTGATCCAGCCAGAGCTCGGAGCTTTATGTCGTGAGGAGGAAGAACCTTGGGGTGCTCGCAGGAGAAGAGCATGGTGCACTTTGGATTTCCATCGTGACTGTCCAGACAACAGGCTTCTCCCATTCTCCTCATCTTTTTTCTTATTCCCAGATGAATCCTAGAATCTGTAGAAACCCATAGTTTTATAAAGAAAGTCAGGCAGAAGAGGGAGGGGACCTTCAGAAGAGATCTGAGTGAGTTTTGAAGAGAGGTCCTCCCTTCCCATTCTTTATTCTCTTCCCCTTGAAGCCTGCCAGGAAAAGGTCCAAGGTTCTGGGGATGCAGAGCCTGCTTGGCATCTATGTTTCTTTCCTGCCCAACTTGTGCCTTGTGCGTGCTTGGGCACCTGTGTGCATCCCTGGGCGGGGGATCAGGTGGGGGGCATCCGAGACACTTGGCTATGGCTGCAGTGCCGCAGCTCTGGGAAGGGTGTGAGTGAAGGTCACACTGAAGTGAGCACAGCTCCACTCTCGGCCCAGCACTGCCTCTGTGGCACTATCCTTTGGAATTGCACCCTATTGCTGCTGAAGTGGTTTTGCTCCCAAGGAGCCAAGGAGAAACGTCCGGGTGTGCAGCTTACAGAGGTGTAAGCGGCCTCAGAGCATCCTGTCAGGAACTGGCCGATGCTGGTCTCTTTTGGGAGAGGCTTGGTGCCCACCCTGGCTCTGAAGGTTGTCCCTGTTGATTTTTCTGACACTTCCTCTAACAGGATTCTCTTTGATTTGATTTCTGCAAATTCTTGGGTGTGATTTTTACTGCTGTTCTTGAAGATAAAAAGCTTATTGTTTTCTAGGAAGTTTCTTCTGAAGGTGCAGAAATTGTGGCCTCCAAGTTGGAAGTATTTTTCTGCACCATCGGCTTTCTCTAATGGGAGGAGAGCATTAGTAGCAGCATCCAATAACCTGCAGGATTTACGTTATTTGAGTCATTCTGGAGGAGGGGAGTTAGCAGGCAGTAAAGACTTGGAGCCCATTTTGTTATTTCTGCTACTTTTCTGCTTGGTGTCTTACCTTTAGTGTGATGTTTTTCTCAGACCCCTCTGTGTGCTCCTTGCTACCTGGGGGACCTTTGTGGAACTAGAAAATAGTGAGCGGACTATTTAGCAGCCTGGAGCAAGGATCCCGAATGGTGGAACCACTGCATAGGAAGGAGAGCACAGCAGCTCATGCTTCACCAAGCACGCAAGATGCAGGAGGGCCAGTGGGTTCCAGCTAGGGTCTGGGAACTGAGCATCTAAGCTTGGGAGCTGGCTTGATTTGTATGAATACAACCGAGCATTTTTGTCTCGGCCCTCTGACCTCACAGCTTTGAACTGGGGGTTGGCTGTTGCTCTGCATTACAAATACAAACCACTCAGAGGAGTGCCACTAGCCCTCACACTTCTGTGGAGTTCTGACCAGTGTGGGGACTTTGCTGGCCATTAGCTTCTCCGTTAGGTTGTTGGTGGTACCTCTAATAATTGCTGGCCGTTGAAATGAAGGAGAAGGGAAAGAAAGTGATCAGTTGAAGTGCCTTTGGACAGCGCCTGGACGTCAGGACACAGTTGGGTGTCCTCTCTTGGTGGCTTTGTGATAGTAGCTTGTATTGTAATATCCTGCTCCAGATCAGAGATGGTTGGTGCATGCTCTTATGGTAATTAAGCCTCCAAGGAGCTTGGCCCCTTCCTAGCCTTTCACCTTGAGGGCTGTTGTTGGGAGGTTGGGTCCACAGAGATATAACTCCCCAGGGCCTGATTCTTTGGGTCTGAATCCTCATCTTGGCTTCAGAGTTTGCAGGGATTGGGTCCTCCTGTGTTAACCTCTCCGTTTTACTAAATTCATTGGCAAGTTTTTCTAGGGAAGCTATTAGTGGGGGAGAGGGAGAAGACAGCTCCAAATGTGAGTCAGAGGCCTGGGAAGTAGCTGGTGGGGGGACAGGTTTGCACTGAATCACAGGGTTCTAAATGGGATGCCAGAGGGGCACAGAGGTTCCTAGCCTCGAAGCATTCAGGGGGCCGTTCTCTGCTGGATTTTTGACAGTGAGGATAGTGTTGTGTGCAAAAAAACAATTAATACTGTTCTAAGATGATCCTTTAAGAGCTTTGGGCGGGTTTTAGAGCCTGAAGTTGACACTGTTTTCCCTCTCTTGTTGACACTGTTTTCCCTCTCTTGTAGTCGAGTCATCCTGCCTGTGTCTGTAGATGAGGTAAGTCCTTTTTCTTCATTTTTCTTCGTAGTTGTATATAATTGCTTGTGACCATTAGCTAAGTTGGACTCTTTGTATGGTTTTCATGTTTATTCTAACATAGAGATAATCAGTACTCCATGTGAATTTTCCTGCTGCCACTTTCAGTTGAAGGAAGGTACTTACTTTGTATTTCGAGGCAACTGTGCAGCCTACCTCAAGCTCTTGGCATTCTGGATGACTTTGAATAGAGACTGAACCAGCCCTTCTTACCTGCTGGGACTGTGCCTTTTTGGGGGCATGCTATTGAAGGGATTGAGTGTGTGCATTTCTGGGACCTCTATGACTTGACTGGGAAGTGTACATGGCTGTCTCTGGTTGTGCAACAAACCAGCAGGGCAGGAAGTCTCCAAGGCCCTCTCTAGCCACACGCTAGGTGACTACTGGGAAGACCAAGGCCCAGAACCCTCCTTTTATGAAGGCAGACAATAACAAATGGGCTTGGCTTGCCCTCTGTCCTTTTATGGTTCTTGGGCCTGACGTCCCTGTGTATGGGGATCTGGCAGGATTTGCCACAAGAAGGTTCATAGGCCTTGCTGACTCAGAGTTGGTCTCTTGGACAGCAGAAAACTGTCACAGAGCATCCCTTGTCCCACCCTTTCTCTGAACTTCCTCTGCTTTCCTCTCCTGGTGCAGCCTTATTCTTTGCTTCTTTGTGAATCCACAGGCCCCCCAGCTTCCAGTTAAGCTCAAGTTTGAGTGAAGTTTGTCAGCCAGTCTTGTGCCCTCAGTCACTCTTTCTTGCAGCGTCAGCATGAAGCTCCTGTGATAACTTCCACTCTGTTCCAAATATGAAATGGACCTTTGAAAAATGAAATCAGGCCAACAGAGTCCGCAGCACACTTTTTTTTTTTTAAAGATTTTATTTATTTATTTATTTTTCCCCCAACGCCCCAGTAGATAGTTGTCTGTCATAGCTGCACATCCTTCCAGTTGCTGTACGTGGGACGCGGCCTCAGCATGGCCGGAGAAGCGGTGCGTCGGTGCGATCCCGGGATCCGAACCCGGGCCGCCAGCAGCGGAGCGCACACACTTAACCACCAAGCCGCGGGGCCGGCCCCGCAGCACACTTTAGATGAGACAAATATTCAAGCTTCTTGGCCCCCAAAGGGGATGGGCAGGCATTGGCAGACAATCCCAGAGGATTGTCTCTGGTGGTGGCCTGCACGTCTGATAAGAGCTGTGGAGACCTGTTAGAGGCCAGAGATGGACCTCTAACATAATCTGGGAATTCTCGGAAAGGAGGTTAAGAGAAATGAGACTGGGGAAGCTGGGGAGAGGGGATGGCTGGATAGATGCGGTGATCCCTGGAGGCACCTGAGATGTATGTGGGGCCTAGGAACCACCTGCTTGGGCTGACAGCTGTTGGCTTGGGGGGCCCTACTAACCTCCCTCCTTTGGGGGCCTTGTTATCTTTATGAAAAATAGCAAGTGATGATTTTCCAAATCAGGAGACCAAGCAGGAAGGCCTAGCATGTCCCTTACCCTGAAACTCAACTCCTGGGGGATCTGATGATTCCCTCTCTGATGTACAGGATGATCCCACCCCCTCATCAGGAAGATGTCCCCCGGGAACCCAGGACTACCTCACTGTGGCATTTGGAGGTGAAATGGGTCTCTCTACAGGGAGTTTCTTGATGGAATGAAGGGTAGGAATGTCTCTGAGAAATGCCACAAACTCAGGAGAGCCAGCACTATCCAGGAGCACTTCTTGGATGCTTTGTAGTAAGGTCAATGGGGCCAAGAATGGAGGGAAAGGGGAATTTAACCTTGATAGCATCCACAATTGGTGGGTTTTAGTTTGTGATGGTTTTTTTTGCAGCACTGAGGAAGTTGTGGTGGGATGAGCAAAACCTAAAGTCTAAGCAGACGCTTGGGAAGCAAGTGCTGGGTAGGATTCATCAGTCTGCCTGGTGCTGGTCAATCTGTTCTTAGTTAGAAACCACTGATGAGAAAGCAGTGCATGGCCTGGGTAGGGTTGGAGCAGGAGCTGCTGTTTTAATGGCTTGAACCTTAGTTCCAGAAGATCAGGAAATCTTGAATGGGAGGCTGAAGAAGAAACAAGTAATGATCAACCTTCTCAGAGTCTTTGTCAATAATGCCATCCTTTGTCAATAACCACAGTTCCCATGGGAATAGCCCAGCATCATGTTGGACTCACTTCCTAATTGGAGGCTGTGGTTTGAGCCTCTCGGAACTTCCTGATTTGGGGGGAAAAGAGAAGAAAAAGAGAAGGCCATCTCTTTATAACCATCTGATGACCTGAATCAATATTTTGGGGTGGAATTAGCTTCTGGCTGGCCAGAGCCTTTGGCCTAACGCTGCCTAGGGTTTCTAGGCATTCTGCAGCAGAGCAAGAAAGCCTTGGCTGTTTGACATGGATGTGTCCACTAGTGGTTCCAGGCTCAGGTTGCCGCCCCCCACCCCCACCTACTGTGGGCAGGGCTGGTTTACTTCTCACTTCCAGAGATGCATGGCACCATCCCCCTATGATACCTGGCCTCACAGGGCCCGGTGGATGGGACCAACAACTGTGCTGTTTTTCATGATAGGTTTCATGTCAGTGTCTGAGGCCCACCCAGTGCATCTTCCTGGGCTCCACTCCCAGATTGCCAAAGTGGTGGAGTCTCTGTTTTTCTTAGCTGGATGTCTTAATTCTTTGGGACAAAGGAATAAATCTCAAGTGCAGGGAGCATTGTCCTAGACCTGAGCAGGCTGGAATCCCTGTCTCTTCGGGGGGCTCTTTATCTGATTTAATGGTCTTACCACCACCCCCACCTCCACCCCATCTGAGTCAGACTGCTTTTTGCTTTCCCAAGGTGAGGAGCCACTATGCCAAAGGGAACCCTCTGACATGAAAAGTGTCCCTCACTTGTAGCTTGTGGAGGCCAGTCTTACTTACTCCTTTGGATTAACAAAACTGCCTTCACTTGTCTCATTGGGATTAAAGGATCAGAATATCAAGAGAGATTAAAGGGGGAAGATGCCAGCCCAACAAGCTGATCCTCTTAGAGCCTGCCCTCTGATTCCTGCAGCTGAGGAGGAACCAAATGAAAGGGATTAGTGTCTGCTGGGGGCCCTTCCATAAGCAGCAACCCAGTCCCCTCCACCAGGCCCTTTCCCCAGCCTGCCCTTTAGGATTGCTGAGTCAGTGGTTAGATGTTCTTATGACTCTTCTCTGAAACAGAATTACTGCTCCTTCTTAGGATCCCCTGGCTCAGCCAAACCCTGGCCCACTTGATAGGGGCTTTCATGTGTGCCTCAGCCAGGGGTGGACTTGGAAAGGTGCAGAGACAGCTTGGGGTTCCCTGGGGGCATTGAGGCAGCACTGGTGTTGCTCAGGGTTAGCAAGGTCAAGGTGACAGGCTCTCACCCAGATGTTCCTCTTTTTGGGGTTAACTGAGCCTTGATCACTTGCTTGGGCCTTTCTGTGGCATTTTGTCCTGTAGTTTTGCTTTGGAAGTTAGAGCTCTTGCAGCTTTGTGGTGAACAGTGAATTGTCCTGGTCTGCTGCTTCGCCTTCCAGACTTTGCCCAGAAATTTTCCTGCAGTTCTTACAAAGTTGCCTGGTAAAGCAGGCTTCCAAGTTTGAGGTGAAGCAGCCTGGGAGCTGCCTCTGAGCCTTGCTGTTGCAGGCATTGGTTCAAGTGGCAGCTGCCCAGAGATGCAGCCTCTCTGTTTTAATCTCAAAGGGAGAAAAACTCTTGTCTTTCACTCCTGGGAGTACCAGGAGCTTGGAGAGGGGGTATAGAGGGTGAGGAAAACCTTTATCCCCCACTCCCCCAACAGGTAATCAAGTGCCTTTTTTTCTCATACTCCCTGAACTGTTGTGCCTCGTGGCACTGGCAGATGTGCCTGGTGGCACCTCCAGATAGCTTCCCTCAGAGAGAAGGAGGCAGAATGGCCAGGCCTGGGCACTGCCCAGGTCATTCGCCCTAACATTGAGTTGTCCTGAGGGGGTCAGAGGAGCCCAGTGCTCTTGACTGGTGACTTGATAGGGCGGCATGTGACCCAAATAAAGGAAAACTAGGCTTTTGCCATCTAGTAAGTGCCAACATGCAGGGTGCACCCAGCCAGCACAGACTGAGGGGTAGGAATCTGTGCTATCTAATATGGGAAGCAGGGCCCTTGCTTCAGCCCCACCGGGAATCTGGAAAGCATCAAGTTTGGTTGCCTGCAAGGCTGTTCTCTGAGTTGCTGGCAGAGTGAGGAGGGGCCGGTCACTGGAGAAAAAGCAAGTAGATGAGCCAGTTTTACAGCAGGGGTTGTGGATTTCACAGAGCACTGGGCAACTTTCTTTGACAAAAAGTCATGTCGTAGAATCTGTTTAAATGAATGGGATAAAGAGACTTTTAGCAACAAACCCAGATCTTGTTTTAGGGTCTTAATACCAGAGGCAGGTGCAGGGAAAAAGCTACCTTGGACTTGATAATCTGTTTTCTGGACAGTGGTGTGAGGTTAAGTATTTTTCACCTGCCTCCTTAAGCCTTGAGGGAGGAAGTGAAAATGGGAAGGATGAAATTAAACACAGGTGATGGCCGTGGAACAGTGTTCGCAGTTGCTTTGGGTGAATTTGGGCAAGGTCCTGTGTGAAACTGCAGAATGAGCTCCCAGATGAGGGGATCCCAAAGTGATCTAATTGGAGAGTTATCAGCAGCTGGACTGTGTGCAACCATAAAGAAGATTCTGCATTGACAATAACTCCTGTCTCTTTGTTCCTTTAGTATCAAGTAGGGCAGCTGTATTCTGTGGCTGAGGCCAGCAAAAATGAAACGGGTGGTGGTGAAGGCGTGGAGGTCCTGGTGAACGAACCATATGAGAAGGACGGTGAGAAAGGCCAGTACACACACAAGATCTACCACTTACAGAGGTATGTGGCTGCGCAGCAGAGCCCAAAGGCGGCCTGGTATTGAAGTGGAGATAATGGATAACGGATAATGGTTGCTCAAGTTGCTTCATCTGTGAAAGTGGGTGTAGGTGGTACTACTTTGCTCATTTAAAGGTATTTTTTTGTTTTTTGTTTTTTAATAGAAGTAATAAAAAACTCAAAGGCTCCTAGTTCCCAGAGGTGATAGTTTTTAGTTTCCTGTGGGCCTTTCCATTGTCTGTGAGTATAGAAGTAGACGTGTGTGTGTGTGTGTGTGTAAATGGGTGTTCATTTCCTTTATTGTTATTTTACATAGATGGGATCATACTATACATACTGGTCTTGACTTTTCTGATCTTTTGTTACTTATCATATCATAGCTGTCTTATCCTCTCGGTGTCTTCTGCCTCATTCTTGTGAAGTCTGCATAGTACTGTGTTGTACAGCTGTGCTGCATGTTGTTTCACCAGTCCTTTCCTGATGTATATTTATAGTATTTCCAGATGTTTACATACAGTGCTCCAGTAAAACTCCCTCTGCACAAATCTTTTTTTTTTTTGGTGAGGAAGATTGGCTCTGAGCTAACATCTGTTGCGAATCTTCCTCTTTTTTTTTTTTTTGCTTGAGGAAGATTGTCCCTGAGCTAACATCTGTGCTGGTCTTCCTCTATTTTGTATGTGGGACGCTGCCACAGCATGGCTTGATCAGCAGTGTGTAGGACCGCGCCCGGGATCCGAACCTGCTAACCCCAGGCCGCCAAAGTGGAGCGTGTGAACTTAACCACTATGCCACCGGGCAGGCCCCTGCAAAAATCTTTTGATGTACTTGTGTGTGTAAATCTATAGTAAATGTTCCTAAAAGTGGAATTGCGGGATCAGGTAATATTTTAAATTCAGGTAATATTTTAAATTTTGGTACCTCTTTTTGGATCAAGGGCATAAATATTTAAAAGTGAAACTTGAACTGATTTGTGTACCAAAGTCCATAGCAAACCACACAAATTTGCTCTAACCAAAACAGTAATATTTCAGTAAACTATAAGCTGACTCAAAGGGTATTGAAAGCCATAGTAAACATACACTAGCTTGAATGGCAGTTGAACCAAGCTAGTATCGGAACTATCCAGTACCGGAAAAAATAAACCTGATATATTTATTAAATTGTGGTAAAATATACATAACACAAAGTTCACCATTTTTACCATTTTTAAGTTTAGTGGCATTAAGTATATTCACATTGCTGTGTGACTTAAACCTGCATCTTAATTTCTAGCCATTAAACTGAACTGAAACCAATTTCGTTTTCATTTGGTAAAGTCATCTTTGATTTAATGTCGTCTGCCGCCCTGGAGATGTGCAAGTGCTAGCCCAGAGGGGTCCAGGACTCTGTGAGCGAGGAGCCACGGGGAGAGCCACACCGTGAGTGGGGACAATCTCACCACGATCTTGTTTCCTTGCCAATGTCCTCTTTCCTCCATGCCTCCTCTTCATCCTCCTCCACCCCTACACTGAGTTGACTGCCTACCAATCTTACTGAGCCCTTAAGAGCTGATTAGAATAAGGCTCAAGATATGCCTTCCTGGTAGTGCATTTGTACTTTTTAAAGAGGACTTTCTTTGAAAAGAGGTAGTGAGGTTGATAGAAGGGGCCACTTGGTTCCTCAAGACACAGTTGGTCCAACCAAAGTGGCAGAGAGGAGGTCTGTACATATGGAGGGTGGGACCTGTCTTACCTTCTTCCTTACAAGAGAGGTGTAAACTTTGAGCTGCTACCACTACTCTTTCCTTAACCCCAAAACACCTAACTGCAAAGTAACCCATACCAACAGTGCTGGCTGCCAAGACCACCTCTCCTCAGGAGGACCGAAGCCTCCTTGTCAGCCATCTGGTTGCCCCAGTCAGAGACTTGGGTTCACCACCACCCTCTTCCTCGTCCCTCACATCAAGTCAAATTCTTTGGACTCCATCTCCTGAGTATTTCCAGGGTTTCCATTTCCCTCCACCATCTCTTGCCTGGATTCCTACAGCAGCTCCTAACTGGTCTCGCTGCTTTCCAGTTCTCTGCACAACTTCAGGTGTTCTGTCCAGAAGACAGATCTCTTGTTCCCCAGCTTAAAAGGTATAGATGGCTTTCCTTTGCCCTTGGGATAAAGTCCATACTCTCTGACATGACCTACAAAATCTTTTATGATCCAGCCTCTGTGTGTTCTCTTGTAGTCCCTGCCTCATACCTTACACCAGCTACTCTGAACTTGTCTTTCTTTCTCCCAGCTTTTCCCACCCCACTCCCATCCTTTTGTCTGGCTCAGTCCTAGTCACTCTCTACTCTGTTCCTTTAATCCTAACTTTCCCTGAGGAGCCTCCCCATGCACCGTGCCTCCTGCGCCATGTTCTCACAGTGCTCTGCACCTCAGAGCCCTGTGCTCACCCATCATGGCACTGCCTGGCTAGTTGTACTCCCCACTAGAACATGAGCTCCAGGAGGGCAGGGGCCACGTCTGTGTGATTTGTGTGTGTGTCCTGGTGCCTGGCACATAGAGATCCTTCCCTGAGTGAGTGTGGCAGTGAGTGCGTGAACCTCCGAGTGTTGCTCCGAGTGCTCTGAGTTAGTTCTTTACTGAGTTAGCTCTTTTTTCTTAGGCCTCAGGCACTAAAGCTGATGAGATTGTTGGAGCGTGCTAAAGACTGCACAGATTGCCAGTTAAAAATGAAGGAAGAGGAATATATGCACTTTTTTCTAAACAAAATGGGAAAAGGGTGAAGGGGGTCAATTGTGACTAGACTTATTGTGGTAATCACTTTGTAGTATATACAAATATCTAATTATTATGTTGTTTGTACACCTGAAACTAATATAATGTTATATACCAATTTTATCTCAATAAAAAAAAGAAAAATGCTTATACTGTATATGCTGTTCTGTAACCTGAGATAAGAAGGAATGAATAGAAGAAAATATTTTACCCCTGTGAGGCAGATGGCCCTGAGGCCCTCTTGGCCTCCCAGAACTGATGATAAACAGATCAGATCATCTTGGATCCCATATTCCAAGTTTGTCAGCCAGTCACCCTGGCCCATAAACCTAGACTAGTACATTCTTGGAGGTATCTCATCCTTGCAGTGTATGGTATAATGTCCTGGGCCCAGTGAGCTCTGGAAAAATGCGTAATGATAATGTAATGACTGATAAGCCGTGGCAGGTAGCCTGGGGTTTCACCTGCTGTCCTGTTCCTGGTAGGTGGTGGGGAAGTTGTGAGTGGATGGTAGTAGCCAGCCAAGCTGAGGTGTCTTCTGACAGGTGGCTTCTCACAGACAAGAGTAACCTGCTTATCTCACGGAATCTTGCTTGTCAACTCCCTGTTGAAGAAGCTGGAGCTGTGGCCTGGAGAATGTGATGTAAAAGGCCATTGTCTTCTAACTCTCTCCTCCATTTCTCTTCATAACCCTTTTTTCTGATTATAGCAAAGTGCCCACGTTTGTTCGAATGCTGGCCCCAGAGGGAGCCCTGAATATACATGAAAAAGCATGGAATGCCTACCCTTACTGCAGAACTGGTGAGTGCAGACCTGGCTAGAAGCCAGAGTTTGGGCCCCAGGGTGGACGAAGGGTGTGGTCAGGTAGACCCAGGGGTGGGAGTGGATTGGGGTTTTGCGTCCCACCTTCATTTTCTGATTAAGCCAGTGAAAGGATGAGCTTAGGGACTCCCTCAGGCTGGTGGTGAGTGTCAGTGCTGTCAGTACCATTTGGCAGCCAGCTGGGTGGGAACCACCAGCTAGTCATGGCCCAAGATGCACAGAACCAACCGCTCTTATCTGGGGATGGTATGATAATTTTGATTGTTTTTACTGATTATAAAAGTAATGTTCGGGCCGGCCCTGTGGCTTGGTGGTTAAGTGCGCGCGCTGCGATGCTGGCGGCCCGGGTTCGGATCCCGGGTGCGCATCGAGGCACCACTTCTCTGTCCAGCCTGAGGCCGAGTCCCACATACAGCAACTAGAAGGATGTGCAGCTGTGACATACAACTATCTACTGGGGCTTTGGGGGCAAAAAATAAATAAAAACCTTTAAAAAAATAAAAAAATAAAAAAAAAAATAAAAGTAATGTTCTCTGTTTAAATTTTAGAAAATACATACAAACAGAAGAAAATAATCACCCATGATTCTCCCATCCCTGGATAGTCACTGTTAATATTTTAATGTCTTTTTTTCTAGTCCTTTTTTTTAATGCTTACGTATACACATATATATAAAATCTTCAGACACATTGTCTAGACAAATTTTGGATCATATCATAGTAATTATTAAATTGCTCATTTTTTCTCAGTAAATGGAGAACCTTTTCCCTGTCACTGTATAGTCTGCTATTTTTAAAAATTTGTAATGGCTGCATAGTGTTCCATTGTATGACTGTACTGTGATCTTTTTAAATCACTCCCTTATTGTTAAATACTGAAATTTCCAGTTTTAATGTGATATATTTGTGTTTGGCTTGAAAAGCAGTGTTGAGGCCCAGGGACTCTTGAGGCAGTCATAGGAAAGGACCTATCAGGTGACCTTCCTGCCCTGGGCAAGGGTCAGGCCTAGACACCAAGAAAACGTGGCAAAGGAAACATTGATGTTGTTGGGGAAAAGTGGAATAAGCCCAATTTTTTATGACAAAGGATTTAGAAACAGCTATTTCCCAAATATGTTATATAACACATGGAGTGTGCATGCCAGATTTTGGTGGGAGGGGGACAAGGAGGAGGTAGACCACTACTGAGAGCCGTGAATCGATGGCTTACGCTAAACTAGCATGTTCTGTAAGTTGAAGGTGAGAGTAGGGATGGAATTATTTTCTTAATCTTGGCCAGTCTGTTATCTGGAGTTTCTGGAAAGGAAAGATTTGAACCTCCACAGAGAGCTTTCTATTCTAGACATTCTGGGATTCCCTTTGAATAGTTCAGACTCTTAGCTTTCCAGGATTCCTAGGTCTTGAGGGCCATCTAGGAGTAGACCTCTTGGAGGGCCCAAACTGGTATTGATCCATATCGTGGGCCGGGGGCAGGGGGGTGGGGGGCCTCCCCAGAAGTCCCCTGGAACTTGTCTGTGAGGTGTGTGGCCTTTCCCCCAGCCAACCAACATTTGTTTGCACAGCCAGTCTGTCTGTTAGGTTCTCCTACCAGCCTCTGCTTACGTGTACTGCTTCCCTTGCCTTATTTGTTGAAACCTGGCACTCCCTAGATTGTATCTGATGAGGGTGCTCCACCCATGTGGTCCTTATCCTGTGGACTTTGGGAATGACTAAGTCTAGAGCACCGGGCTCATTGCTCTCTCCAGTGCTCAGTGTCCCCATACGGGTTCGAGAACCTTGTATCAGGAGATGAACAATCATTGGTGGGACCTGGGATGTATAACACTTAAGAGTTTTATTGCTGTCGCTGAAAATGCTAACATCACTATTCCCTAAGCATCAGACAGGAAGCTGTTAAATACTTGGAAAAGAGACATGCCATACTTTCTTAAAAGACAGTGTGCACTGTGGCTGGGTGTGTCTGGTCTAGGGCCAAAGGTGAATTTTCTCAATGTCTAAGAGAGTTGCACTCAGCATGTGTCATAAGAACCCAAGCCAGCTTGGCATAAAGGAGGCAAATGGATAGCATGGACTCCTCCGTGTCTGGGGCAGGGTTCTGGGTACACAGCTTGTGCCAACTGAGAGATGCCACTGTCTTGTGTGTCATTCTGGGGAGATGTACTGCGGCTGACATGGGCACTTTTCTAGACACCCAGTGTTCATTCGTGTATTGTCCTGATCCTTGGCCAAAAGGAAAAAAAAGGATAAAAGTAATTTCTAAATACTAGGTGAAGAAGAGAGGCGAGGAGTCTATACAGAAACTGAAATATAATAATGAATAATGTACGCCTGAAATTTACACAATGTTGTAAGCCAATATGACCTCATAAAATAATAAAAAAAAAAAAAAAGAGAGAGAGGCAGAGAGCAGGGTAGAGAAGGTTGGTTTCTTCTGTGGGTGCTAACCTCACAGTCAGAATCCACTGTCGTACTGAATGAGTGTGTCGATTCTTAGATCTGTTCAGTCAGACACTTGCTCTTTTAAAATAAGAGGTAGAAACAAGGAAGGCTACTTTCCAGTTCCCTCTGGGAATTGATAAGAGAAAGATTATTGGTTCAAACATCTAAGCTTGGCCTAAGTTGATCAAAGTTTGAGGTGAGATAGATACAGAAGCATGGAGTAAAATTCTGCATGCCTTTTGGAAGGCTCTAACCTTCTTCTGAGTGGAATGAAGATGGATTTGGAATACTGTACTCATAATCAGCTCTCTCTGTCCTCTTACTTTATTTCTCTCTGTCTGTTTTCCCCTGAAGCTGATGGGTTGGGATGTGAGGAAGGAGGGAATAAGATGGGGGGTGGTTCTGTGGATGAAAGTAGGAAGAGGAATATAAATCTTTCTCCTTTTGCCTCTCCCTCTAACCTTAACCCTCAGCTGGATACAGTCTCGCTAAGCCATGGTTTTAAAGTACCTTATTCATCTTATTTGGAGAGCCCTAATTTCCAACTGCAAAGGGTTTCCTGGGACTTTTCCAGCGTGCTCAGGGTTGTAGTTTGAAGAAAAGGGAGTACTGTGAATGCAGAGGTATTTGTAGGGGCAAGGGAGGGCTAAAGAAGGTTTGAGGAAGATTGGTCACCCTAGTTAGCATTAAAGGCCAGGGAGGGTCATCACCCTCATAGGTTCAGAAACTTAATTTGTCAGAACTGAGTGGATCTATTTCTCAGGGTCTCATAAAGACTAATGTATACAAACTCCTTATGCCAATATATTAAGTTATATTGAAATACAGAATTACTAATGAAACCAGATATTCCTGTTTGCTGATTAGGGCGTTCTTTCCTTCTGGACTCTTCTACATGGGAAACCAAAGTGTAATCAGAAAACCAACGTACTGAAAAATGTCCTCTCACTTAAGTGATCAAACTCTTGTGGCTGTTAATTAGCACATTCTGTCCCTACAGAGGCCAAACTGGAAGAAGGTTGCTTAGAGAAGAGGGATTGAAAATCAGGTGGTTAGTTGGAGAACCTTAGTGGCTAGTGTCATCAAACCAGGCCAGCCTGACACTGCTGTCTCCACTCTAGGGAGGGGGCTGCCACATATGCAGCCCAGACTCCTGCTCCCAGGACAGCACTGGAGAATTTCTGCCAAACTGGCCTCTTTGGATTCCCGCTCGATGGATATTGTACACATCATTTCCCTTTTTGTTAACGTGATTTTCTTCAAGCTGATAACAGGGCAGTTATTTCAATAGGCCATTTAGTTATAATCTTAATCTGGTACTTTCCTCCAAGTATCTTTCATTGGATTCCGGGAAATTACTGATAGTCTCTTGGGTTGTTTCTATTGAAGGTGGATCTTATCCCTTACATTTCAGCTTTTGCTCATTTCAAGCTCAGAGGTAACCTTAGTTTCAGTTTTACAGTTAAGGAGTTTGACTGTTAGTCACATGTACTGTCCAAACATGGCAGCGTGGCATTCATCAGAAATTGAGATAACTCCTAAATTCACAGGGTACAGAATGAACTGGGCTGTTGTCAGGAAGAGAGCTAGTCCGTTCCCCAGTAATGTAGGAGCTACAGTCATTTTCTCTGATAAATAATTGAACTGTGCTTTCCGAGGGGGTCTCGTTACAATGAGCAGGAGTGTAGAGGGTTAGAGGTTTGGTTACAGTGAGAGGAAGGATGCAGAAGGCAGATAGGCAGCGTCTGGCCTAAAGTGCCCTGCTCTGTGCCCCAGGAAGTGGGGGGACACCAACTGATGCTCCAACGGCAGAGCGGTGGGTCTCAGTGCTTCAGCTCATCGGAGCCAGTCCCCTTTCCTTGCCCAGCTGGAAAGAATCCCGAGGAGCTGATAGTGGCACCACTTTAATTAAATTCCATATTTGGGGGCTGGCTCCGTGGCTTAGCGGTTAAGTGTGTGCACTCCGCTACTGGCGGCCCGGGTTCGGATCCCGGGCGCGCACCAACACACCACTTCTCTGGCCATGCTGAGGAGGCGTCCCACATACAGCAACTAGAAGGATGTGCACCTATGACATACAACTATCTACCGGCGCTTTGGGGAGAAAAAGGGAAAAAAGAGAGGAGAATTGGCAATAGATGTTAGCTCAGGGTCGGTCTTCCTTAGCAAAAAGAGGACTGGCATGGGTGTTAGCTCAGGGCTGATCTTCCTCACCAAATAAATAAATAAATTCCATATTTGGTCTTTTGGGACTTCTGTATGAGTGCAACTTGAGGGTTGGTGCATTTGAGGTATCAGATGCACTCAGTGGGGCTTGGAGAGGGCCTCTGGAATAAGCCCCAGGGAGTGGAGAACTCTTTGCCACCATGGTCTCTGGGGGTGAGGGGCAGATATTTATTCATCCTCATTAACCTTTCTCTCTCTTCTTTTCATGTCCTTGCCTCGGAGCAGTTATTACAGTAAGTATTTCCAGGGGGGTTGGAATTGCAGATGATTTATAAGAAAAGAAGAAATGAAGATAGACCTGCACTGGAGGTTCCTGGGTATTCCTCTCTTTCTCTTGGGTGACTTTTGGAGCTATTGAGGCTTAATCCTTTCAGACCTAATGAGGAACCTGTTAATTGGCAAAGTGGCAGTCAGGACTGTGGCATCCTCGCTCTGGGTCTCCGTGCACAGAATGACCCAAGGCTCTCCCCGCCACTCCCCATGTCATGCCTTCTCAGGGTTGTACAGAAACTTCAGCTAGCCGGGTTGTGGCTTTCCTCTTTGGACATCTCTTGACCCCAGTAAGCACAATTGCACCCTTGGTGAAATTGTGCAGTCAGCGAGGTTTCTTTTCCATGACCATCCCCTGAGTCATTGCCCCTTCTCTCCACCTTTCAGATTCTCATCCAGGTGCTGTGTCGCTGCTGGTAAACGTAGGCAGTTTCTGGATGCCTAATTCCTGCTGAGGAGTTAGTGGGTTAATGTGTTCCTCCTTTGAGTAGTTCCAGTTTTTAAAAAGCACTAAGAGAAGAAGACAGTAATTAGCAGGAAGGGTTAAATTGCAGAGAAGAGAACTTCAGGCCTTAGCAAAAGGCTGGCGGGGGGGAATGGGGCGGTGGTGAACATTTTCCGTTGGTTAGGAGGTCTTCCTGTGTTCTTCCCACACTACTAATTAACCATTAAGACACTGTGCATAAGGTAGTATGGCAGAGTGGTTAAATACCTGGATTTTTGAAAACAGACAAACCTGTTTTTTAAGCCCAGCTCTGTCATCATCTCTGTGGCCTTGGACAAGTCACTTCACCCCTTTGAACTTCACTTTCCTCATCTGTAAAATGAGAGTGATATTACCACAGACCTCGCAGGCTGGGATAGAGATTGAATGAGATAATGCATGCCTGTGGCTCCCAGTAAAGCTAGCTGTCATTACAAGGCAGAGGCTGAGTCTCTCGACTGTCCGGGATCCAGTAATGGGGGATGGTTACTCTCCAACTTCAACTCTGGTGACTCTAAGGTATTTTTTCCCCTTTCCAGAATGAGTACATGAAAGAAGACTTTCTGATTAAAATTGAAACCTGGCACAAACCAGATCTGGGTACTCAGGAGAATGTAAGTAGCCCCAAGGACTCCCAGGCCCCAGGGTGCGTGTTGAGGCTCTGTCCTGTTCTCCATCCCTGCTGTGGGGTCTTCTCCATGGTCCCCTTTTTCCTGGCCAGGAAGATGACAGCCTGTGCATAGACTTGTCCTATTAGCATGGGATTGCTCTGTCTCTAATTTGCAAAATATGATCTCTAAGACTCCTTATAGGGCCTTCTTGTAGTGCTGGTATTGGTCTAAAATGCAACTCCTGGCACAGAGGAGCTGTATTTTTAAAACATCAAATTACAGCCTCTGTAGAGCACAATTTGCCAATAACTCCTCAAATTTAAAATATACCTATCCTTTACCTCATCTATTCTACATCTAGGAATTTATACTACAGTTGTGTTTTCACATGTGTGAAATAATTTATGTACAAGGCAATTCATTGCAGCATTCTTTGTGTAGCCGAAGATTAAAAACAACCTAACAGCTCATCAATAGGACATATTAAATAAATTGTGATGCAACCATATAATGGTATAGTATGCAGCCATTAAAAAGATCCAGTAGGGGACAATCTTCAGGATATATTGTTCAATGAAAAAAGCAAGATGCAAAACAGTGTGTATATGCGCTACCACTTGTATTAAAAGAGAAATCTCTGCACATGGATGTTTGTACGTTCATAGAATCTGGTAGCATGGTCTTACTGGGAAGGGGACTGCGAGATAAGGAAGAGAGTTACTCTTTATCACATCCTTTTGTACGTTTTGAATTTGTATCCTCATTTCGTATCACATGCATGTCCAACCTGTTTGAGTTAATTTTTTTTTTTTTTTTTTTTTTGTGAGGAGATCAGCCCTGTGCTAACATCTGCCCATCCTCCTTTTTTCTTGCTGAGGAAGACTGGCCCTGGGCTAACATCCGTGCCCATCTTCCTCCACCATACATGGGACACCGCCACAGCATGGCTTGACAAGCGGTGCGTCGGTGTGCGCCCGGGATCTGAACCAGCGAACCCCGGGCCGCCCCAGCGGAGCGTGCCCTTAACCGCTTGCGCCACCAGGCCGGCCCCTGAGTTAATTTTTAAAAGCATCAAAATAAGCAGTATATGCTAAGCAGGCAACATCTCCACAAGTGTTGACAGTCTTTACAAAGGGGGAAATGACATAGATGCTGTTGGTAGCCCTGTGAGTGTTTTGGCCTACTGTTGTAGTGCTTAGCCTGAAAAATCAGAGCCTTAGTTCTCAAATGTATGTTCTCTTATAATCCATCCTCCCATTCCTTTGAATAATTTTGTATGTAATTCTTTACCAATAGGAATCTCACATCTATGGCTATGGGAATAGCAGTCCCTAGGTATCCTGCTGGGTAAAGGGTGCTTTGTAGCTGAGAAAAACTGCACAGTGGTCCTCCTTGTTCCCACAGGTGCATAAACTGGAGCCCGAGGCATGGAAACATGTGGAAGCCATATATATAGACATAGCAGATCGCAGCCAAGTACTCAGCAAGGTAAGAACCGTTTAGAGATGTGAGTGGCCTTGAGATGCAGAAATGACTTCTCAGGGCCGGCCCCGTGGCTTAGCGGTTAAGTGCGCGAGCTCTGCTGCTGGCGGCCTGGGTTCGGATCCCAGGCGC